TTCCCACAAGAGTGTCCACAAGAGTGTTCCACAAGAGTGACCTACAACAGTGTCCCAAAACAGTGCCCCGCAAGAGGGACCCACAAGAGTGTCCCACAAGAGTGTCCCATAAGAGTGTCCCACAAGAGTGTCCTACAAGAGCGTCCCACAAGAGTTTCCGACAAGATTGTCCCACAAGAGTGTCCCACAAGAGTGTCCCAGAAGAGTGTCCCACAAGAGTGCCCCGTAAGAGTGTCCCAGAAGAGTGTCCTATAAGAGTGTTCCACGAGAGTGTCCTATAAGAGTGGTCCACAAGAGTGTCCGACAAGAGTGCCCGGTAAGTGTGACCCACAAGAGTGTCCTACAAGAGTGTTTGACAAGAGTGTCCCGTAAGAGTGTCCCCCAAGAGTTTCCTACACGAGTGTCCCACAAGAGTGTCCTACAAGAGTGTCCCGCAAGAGATTTCCACAAGAGTGTCCCAGATAGAGTGTCCCACAAGAGTGTCCCGTATGAGTGCCCCACAAGAGTGTCCCACAAAATTGTCCCGCAAGAGTTTCCCACAAGAGGCCCCTACAAGAGTGTCCCACAAGAGTGTCCCACAAGAGCGTCCTATAAGAGTGTCCCACAAGAGTTTCCTACAAGAGTGTCCCACAAGAGTTTCCTACAAGAGTGTCCCACAAGAGTGCCCCAGAAGAGTGTCCCACAAGAGGCCCTGTAAGAGTGCCCCAAGAGTGTCCTACAAGAGTGTCTCACAAGAGTGTTCCACGAGAGTGTCCCATAAGAGTGAGCCCCAAGCGTGTCCTATAAGAGTGTCCCACAAGAGTTTCCCACGCGAGTGACCCACAAGTGTGTTCTGCAAGAGTGTCCCAAGAGTGACCCACAAGAGTGTCCTACAAGAGTGTCCCACAAGAGTGTCCTACAAGAGTGTCCCACAAGAGTGTCGCACAAGAGTGTCCCACAAGAGTGTCCCATAAGAGTGTCCCACAAGAGTGTCCTACAAGAGTGTCCCACAAGCGTTTCCTACAACAGTGTCCCACAAGAGTGTCCTACAAGAGTGTCCCACAAGAGTATCCCTCCCACAAGAGTGTCCTGTAGGAGTGACCCACAAGAGTGTCCGACAAGAGTGTCTCACAAAAGAGTTTCCCACAAGAGTTTCTCACAAGAGTGTCCCACTAGAGTGTCCGACAAGAGTTTCCCGCAACAGTGTCCCACAAGAGTGTCCGACAAGAGTGTCCCACAAAAGTGTCCCGCAAGAGTGTCCTATAAGAGTGTCCCACAAGAGTGTCCCACAAGAGTGTCTCAGAACAGTGTCCCACAAGAGTGGTCCACAAGAGTGTCCCACAAGAGTGTCCTACAAGAGTGTCCCACAAGAGTATCCCACAAGAGTGGCCTATAAGAGTGTCCCACAAATGTGTTCTACAAGAGTGACCCACAAGAGTTTCCTACAAGAGTGCCCCAAAAGAGTGTCCCACAAAAGTGTCCGACAAGAGTGTCCTACAAGAGTGTCCTACAAGAGTGCCCGACAAGAGTGTCCCACAAGAGTGCCCTGTAAGGGTGGCCCACAAGAGCGCCCTACAAGAGTAAGATTGCCCTATACGAGTGACCCACAAGAGTGTCCTACAAGAGTGTCCCGCAAGAGTGTCCCGTAAGAGTGTCCCACAAAGAGTTTCCTACACGAGTGACCCGCAAGAATGTCCTAAAAGAGTGTCCCAAAACAGTGCCCCGCAAGAGCTTCCTACAAGAGTGACCCACAAGAGTGTCCTACAAGAGCGTCCGACAAGAGTGTCCTACAAGAGCGTCCCACAAGGGTGTCCGACAAGAGTGTCCTATCAGAGTGTCCTACAAGAGTGTGTTACAAGAGTGTCCCACAAGAGATTCCCACAAGAGTGTCCACAAGAGTGTTCCACAAGAGTGACCTACAAGAGTGTCCCAAAACAGTGCCCCGCAAGAGTGACCCACAAGAGTGTCCCACAAGAGTGTCCTTTAAGAGTGTCCCACAAGAGTGTCCTACAAGAGTGTCCCACAAGAGTTTCCTACCAGAGTGTCCCACAAGAGTGTCCTACAAGAGTGTCATTATGACATATGTAGTTTTTCGAACGTGTTTGCATTCGGGCTCGTGGGTTCCATCTTGTTTTTTTTTACTATCTTTACTGCTTCACCGTAACGCAAACATACCTTACACACTAGAGTAACTCTACGCCCAAATGCTCTCAGGCCATCCGTCGTTTAGTTTGGATTCCTGTTCGCTCCCAGCCACGAAAAACTGCATTTGGCTAGTTATATCAAGCTGGAACGTGGCTGGATGTGGCTGGCACTTTACAAAAAACACCATTTGCAGAAGAGGCAACAACCATTTAGGAACGTGACTTGTCCTGAATGGAGGATGTGCGCGGAGCAGTGCGATCCAAGTCTCCATCAGCAAGGCAGCCGGAGGCCAAGTCCATCCTAGTCCTGTTCAAGATGGTGTCATCCACCTGAAACCGCTTATTTGTACCTGTTCCTGCCCGTATGGCGTGTGTGAGTGTCGACGCCCACGTCGACTGTTCTATGCCTCTCATTCCGCTTCCAAGTTGTGCATGTTGGCCTTGTTTGGCCCCGCCATGACTGATTTCCAACATGACAATTGATAAATGGATACGAATAACCGAGGTTGCCTTTACAGGTTCTTTTGTTCGCATCAAAGTTTGTCCTTCAATGATACCAGTAGTCTTGTACTTTCATTTGTTTGCCGAGGCACAAGGTACAGTACATCATGGATCCAAAGCCAAAGGCTGACTGACCAGTTTATGTGCCCTGCTGCTACACTTCAAATCTCCACATAGGCTGAAGTTCCATTAGCGAGTGTTGGCAGGCTGCAAAGATGGTGGTTTCTGGCACCGATGATTCGGTGCCAATCTTTCCGAAGCAAGACTAGTTGGAGTCGCAATGAGTTCAGTTCAATGATTCAAATGTTTTTGTCAATAATAATTGTAGAAGGACTGGCATGGACTGACAACAAACTGCAAGAAGGCAGTGCTTTCCCAAGCTTAAGCCCCCTTCACATCCTGCGAGTTCGATACAGTTTCACCAGTGCTGGACATCGTGCCAGAAAAACATGTTGGAGAGGAAGCGGTGTTGCATCATTCATGTTGCATGCATCTTCCTGAACAAGCTTGAACATGATTGAATTTGATTGTAGACTTGCGAGTTCCTATCTACATCCTTACTGGGCTGCGGCAGGATGCTGAACATGCGCAACGGCGTTCGTTCGCACCTGTCCCAGGTTTGTCATGCAGCTTGCACCATTGTCGCACGCAGACGAATTGCATTATATATTCATTAATAGTTCAAGACCGTTTCCATCTTTTTTTTCCCATGAAAGAGAGAACCAAGGCAGTTTTGGTGGGCACAAAACCCAGTGCAACTTGCTGAGTGAACACCACATCGGCAATCAACGCACCTGTCTCAGCTTACAACTGGTGCAGATTCACGCGGGCA